TACATACTCGCTGTCCTGGTTGATCCGTTTTTCGGGGACGCTCGAGTTCCCTCGCTTCCGATGGTCCATCTATCGGGAGATCGTTTTTCAGAGATGAACGAAGTATGAAATGTGTACTAAAAAGTTGTTGTCGACGTTTACCGTGGCTGTTCGTCGAAGTAAACTCGGAGAACGGTGGTAAACAGGAGTCCATGAGACATGAATGTTTTGAAACGGCGGAATTTTTTATCGGGGAATGAAATTGAAAATCTTGATGGTTTATGAGAATTGTTTGAATAGTAATAAATTCTATCTTCCTACTACGGCCGGTCATCTGGTCGTATTCAATACCTATCTCACATTGTATTCCGACTATTTCTGTGAAATGTATGTAGCCTATCTTTATCTACCACAACCAGTTAAAACATTTATTCCCTTTTACACCGTTATCTGCTTTAAAATCTCAAATCTAACATTATTGTCAAAACCTGATTTTGTTCGTAGGGAAAAAATCGATTGTTACAAGTTAATAACAAAATCTGGGTCTTTGTTGTACCAAGCAACGATTCGACGTAGGGAAAACGGATCGAATTGCAGGGGCTGTCGATCAATTTCCAGCCGTCAGGCCCGAATTTCGCTGGTACAATTCGCGCGGCCTGTCACTGGCTGCAACCGGAAACCGCGACAGTTTTCGAACGACCGTGCCAAAGCAATAACGATTGCCTCCTCGATGCAACCGGTGGTCCATTGAGTCGTATATCGGTGCAATCACTTCCGAGCGTTCGCGTTCGTCACGGGAGAACGTCGATACTCGATTGAATCGCGCGCTGTATCGAAAAGATCGGCCCGTAACATAGGCTTAATGTTGATTCCGTCGAACCAGACTGTTCTTGGATCGTCAGAATTCTTGAGGACCAGCAGAAATTTGAATCGAACACGGTGACTGAAAATAATTGCGTTAAGACAATACACATTTAGCACAATAATTGACGGGACATCAATGTCTAAAAATTGACAAACATTGTCTCCAAATCTCAAACCTAATAAAAGATTTTCAGAATATTGATCTTCAAACCGTCTAAACACGTTTATTGGTAGAGACCAGCGTGCTTATAGACAGAGATCAGTCTAAATTTATTTGGCGATTCGTCGTAGAATTTTAATTTTAGTATTGTGGGAAATAAGGGGCAACAGTGAATAAGTGTTTTAAAAGGAGCGACTCAATGTTTTAGAAAGATGGCGCAGGGGACCGCGGAGAATGTGATTTTACCCCTTCCCCGATTATTCTACCTAGCGGCTCGTTAACATTATAGTATTGTTATTGACTGACGAGAATCGCTGTCCGCGGAACTGTTGTGTTGATTGAATGCTATCATATCGGATTATTCCGCGTTGTTTCCTGCAGGCATTCCGAATCGTGCTGTGTTTCCCACGAAACGCCTGTTCCTGTGTTACTGCAGAACCGCCTGTTTATGTTGGCGGCTATACGTGGGTACAGTCTATTTGGTCAAATGGAGGAGTGGAAATGCTGGGTAAAATTGATAGAATAGAGATTGTATGAACGAGACGGAGGGAAATCGGTATTGTCTTCTGTGCTCGTTACACAATGGTGGCTGCTCTGTTGTCACTGGCTTCTATAATATTCGGTTGAATTGTAAATATACACCACCGAATGAGGTGAATATTCATTTCGCAAAACTAAACAGTCGTATTGCCGGTGAACTATGAAATAACTGGCAATACAATAATATTGACGGTAAGCGCAATCGGAAATTAACTCAGACTGAAATCCGTTCGAAACGGAACAACTGGAGCTGTAATTAATTTCAATACAATAATGATACTTCTAGACGTCTGTACATACATATACAGGGTGATTAAAAAAGGGTTCGTAACTTCTAGGGTAGATGGTACTCGCCAAATGACGAAGAAAAGTCCTAATACCTATGGGACGAAACTGAACAAGAAATTGTTTACATCTTTGAAAGTATTAATTTCTCGATCCATGTTTATTAGAACTTTTTTTCATCATTTGACGAGTATTATAACTACCCCAGAAGTTATAATCGCTTCTTCTTTACCACCCTGTATATCTGTCCATGATTACGAAAGTGGTTAAATATGAAATTTAAAAATTTATCACTTATTCAACATCACATCGGTTAACATTAGAACAATATAGAAGCACTTCAGCGAAATATCTAAATAAACAAATATCGGAACACCAGTGTCAAGTCTGCGCCAATGGGATGAAACTTGCAAAAACTGTTTGTCTTCCACGCAGACAGGCCGCGTGGAACCGCCAACAAAATGGCGCCTGTTTTCCCCCGTTCCAGCGTTCCTATTATTCACGAAAGCGTCGTTGAGCGATGCACCGTCGATCACCGCAAATAGCCTGAAAAATGGGACACGAGTCGCGTTAGAGAGTGCCTTGTTTTGGACAAACTTTCCCGCAAAAGTTCTGTGAAATCTTGAAATATCCTTTGGCCTTCCGGTACTGTTCCTTTTAACGTGCTTTCGCGACTGAACCGAGGCAAAGCCGCCCCCCGTCGCCGTTTCAACGAGATGTACTTTGTTTTTCACCTGTCCTGGACAACGTTCTACCCGGGGACAGCAGCTGCCCTTGTTTCCACGTTTCTTCAGCTGACGGTGCACTGTGGGAAGAAAAATTAACGCAAGCTGATGGATCGTTGGGAACGCAAACCGAATACATAACGCGGGATCACGGCGGTACACTTGAATCTGTTATTCGAATTGCGTCCTGTCTCCGTTTTCTTCGGGGATCGTGAATTAAAATATGAAATATGGAACGGGCGTACACGTACGTATGAATACGGTTCGGTTCTCTAACGATGGAATTTGTGTCACGGAAGGATCAACTGAGAAACAGAATATTGTATTCAGTTCAGGAGAAAAGGTATTATTAGACTGATTGCATAGTAAACATGTCGCTTTTCAGCCATCTTCAAATCGTTAAACGTTGGATCGAGAAGCTCTGTAAATATGTCGACTTAAATGGAACTTATTTCGATCAAATGTTTAAAACTCCGTAGTTTAACACCTTAAACATCTGGCAAAATTTAGGGAAACGGTAAAAAATGATCCCTTTTCTTATTTCATCATTTTATGATACAAATGTTTACAAACTACGTTTATTACTATGCAACAGCTTAATAGACTCACTTACGTAAATTTACCTAACGAGAAACGCTAGTTCGCAAAGTGATAATAAAGAATTGGTCGGCCACAGTGCATCGTCACGTATAAAAGCTTCCCCGTAAAAGATTCACAAACTTCATAAAGTTTGGTGCATCCCCAAACACATTCTACGATCCTCCTCGGTTCTAAGTATCCCAATGAAAAATGCAGTAGCGAGTTGACAGATTTCGAACTCGACACACCCTCGGTGTTACGCGACCCGAGGCCACTATGCAAAGTGTCCAGCCGTGTCTGTGAGAGGAGAAGCATCATCTGTTCCCCCGCGTATTGGATCGTTTTCAGAAAAGTGGCGCAGGAAGTCGTTACATCGGCGTGAATCCAGGTCTGTGCCCCGGTGCTTTTTTGTCATTTTAATGACACCGTTTCGCCCGCACATTACAATCCTTGCCACCAACCTCTCTTTCGCGAGGTTCCGCCCGACACGTCTGTGGAAAACTCGGAAAAACTCCGTCGATCGAGCCCCTTCGTCGGGCGACGCGATCGATGTGGCACTGTTCGGTTCTTTTATTCCACGAGGATTTTACACGAATGGAGGTGAACTCGTTAAAACTCGATCTTGCGGTACAGCCACAGGCCGAGAACGTGTATAAATACATGTACACCTGTCGCCTCGATAAAAATAGGCATAGTTGAATGATTGATAGTCGAACTGGAATGTTATTTCAAAAGGAATAGATACTCGAAACGCGAGATATCGAGTGATTACGGTTATGAGTTATAGTGGACTCTAACTATATTGCCACTAAACATATTGCCACGCGAGGCACTTCCCTTTCATACGTACTTTCGACCACACAGATTCACTCCCACCACATTGCGTACGCCGGCGCGCCAGCTTTTACAGAGGCTGTGACGATAGAACTTAGCATGGAGGGGGCTCTGAACTCATTGCCATTTTACTCCCCTACGGCGCCGAGCATGGCAATATAGTTAGTCCACTGTAACTGTTCGCGAGAATATATGGAATGGATGGCCAATACGCGAATGAATTAGCATGAAAGCACTTCTTATCGTAACTTATTGATGGACAGCGGATTTTATGGATTTATAGCATATTCAATTATCTGAAATTCAGTGTAGTGGGTAATATAATAAATTTTAGTAGACTTTTCATTTTCTATGGGAACAGATAGAACCTCTGATGCAGTAAAGAAATGTCTGTTTCTTTCTAGTTTCTGTAAATAAATCTTTAAAAATCGATACTTGCATAAACATTCACAATCTACTTACTGCTTAGCCAAGGTTTGACTCAGTTTCGCAACTGTTTCATTTAAAAGAAACTTAAGGGATACGTTCGTTCGACCCACGCAGCTGTTCATGCGAGTTGCAAAATTTATCGACGGACGTTGCTTTCGTTTTTTTTTTCCACGCGGAACAGCTTGCAAACGAATCACCGCGTAAAAAAGTCGGCAAACGGGTAGGACTTAACAAGACTCTGAATAATTTGCATAGAAACGAAAACCATGTAAAGATAAACGATCCTTACGCGGGGCTTAACGCGGCCGTCCTTCGCTCGGGCGGGTGGAACATTTTAAAATTCAAATACACCTGACCCTTCCATTTTATTGACAAAAATACGTTGATTTTATACGGCGCGCGTTGAATTCATTTGATAAAAGTTTGCCGTACGTGTGAAACCTGTATAATTTCTTCTTTCGTAAAAGAGTATTATTTTTTCTCAGACTATTTGCACACATACAGTGCGCAGTGTATTATTTTTTAATTTACTTAATGAAAAAAATAGTGGCCGACGTAATCGAATCTTTGTAATACAATTTATTTTGTTATTGTTTGTAACGCAGGAGACTTGTTCGTGGTGGTGTTCAGTTTGGATTGTCGGGAGTCCTTCGAAGAGGCCATCAGGCTACGTGAATCGATCCTAGAGACTAAAGTGAGCGCTACCCAGAGCGCCACTAAGAGCCGAAGCAAGAGTCACTTCAATTTGAAGGTTCCCATGGTCATCGTCGGGAATAAATGTGATAAGGACACGAAGTACGTGAAGCTTTTATACATTCTACAGGTTAAATATTCTTCAATTAACAATCATATGATCCACTGTTGAACGTTTTAATCTTTTCACCATTCCCATTGCATTAGAAATCTAGATGCTAGATGGTGGATTTTATTTTAGCTGTGTCTTAAGAATTGTATTCTTAAACAGTATCGTTACTATGTTCTAATCAGATCCTTCGATAAATAAGCTAGGATTTACGCAGTATATTTATGTCAAAGGGAAATTGACCAAACACCCCTAAAAGACACAGGAGTCATTCTTCCAAAAATTTGCACGACTAATGTTAAACATGTCTTCCTGTGTCCCAATTCGCTTCGATTTATGTACTCATAATGGGTTTTCAAGCCGATGTTTCGTGTATCAATAACAGTGGAAATCCCGCCCCTGTATTTTCGCGAACTAACAAAGGGAATCGAGTTACAAACACACGACTCCGTGTTTCCACAGAACGGTGACCGTGGAAGAAGCTGAAGAGTACTGCAACAGTCAGGACGATTGCTGCATTTTCGTCGAGGCGTCCGCGAAGAGGAACTTCCACGTGGAAGAACTTTTCTATCAGCTTTTTGTAGTGGCGGGCTTACCCCTGGAAATGGCACCCAATCATCATAGAAAGGTCCCGCTCACTTTTGGCTCTCCAACTATGTTGCCGCCCTCTCAGGTTCGTACTATTATTATTATTACGATGTTATGTTAGATCGTTAAATCAACTAAATAGTTGAGATCTTTTCATTTAAATAATTGAAGATATATTTATTTAAATAATAGAACTCTAAATACTCTACTTTTGTGACGGTTAAGCCATTTTTTTTGTTAACCCTCAAAGACCACACTATATTATCCCACCGATTCGACCATACATAGTCACAGATCATTTGATAAGAAATGCTAGGTGTCTTTCATACGGATTGAGTTACCGTAACTCACAGTGGTCTTTGAGGATTAATGACAGTAACCTTCGAACCGTGAAATTTAAATTTCCATTTCCAATGAATTCATCTTTCGTCTAGTCCGTTCGATAATTTCTTTCCTGACGAAGAGACCTAATCAATGATTCAATTTAATTTAACCTATCTACCCCAAAAAAGCTTACTGAACAAATCAACACTACCTAACGTGTTATTTACAAGATATTAAGACTTCACTGAATTTCACGCTCGAAAACGACAAAATTCATTCCGAGAGATTACCCCCGAACAAAGCTAGAGGTCGCGGAGTCAACGCCTCGACCGTTTTATGCTCGACGGGTCCGCAAACGAAAACGCCAGCGACGGAAACATTTTCGAAATTTCCGCGACGATAGCTGAAGCGAAATCTCCGGGGTCCAACGGAACCGTGAATAACAGTCGAATTCGGAAATGCATTGAAATTGGGATGTTGGCTGCGGGGCGCGCGAATTAAGTCCAGCAAAAGCGATTGCGCTTTTCTACCGAAAAGCAGTCGAGTGTACGTGCCGTTTGCCGCGGATGGTCTCAAAGAGCGTAACCATTTTGTTTCCAGCCGAGGCACAAAGCCACACTGAGCATAAAGCGTCGACTGAGCGACGCCTGCGGCGTGGTCGCGCCAAATGTTCGCCGACCGAGCATAAGAACGGACCTGATGATCATGAGGACGAAGACATGTTCGCTCGCGGCCGCCAACGAGAACAACGCCCCCGGATCCAGGATCACCCTTAGATCGTCCGACACGCGGAAAACGTGCTCCATTCAGTGATACCTCCCCAGGGGATGCCTCGTGATTCCGAAACGTTCGGCACCCGGGACGATCTTCGCGAGCGATTTATAATTAGCACTGATTACTGTAACGCACAAGAATTGTTAGACTTTTTGAATGGACCGGGTCTCTGCTGCTTGTCGGTTTGTCGAGGAAGGCTCTTTTTGTTACGGTGTGTTCTTGTTGACCGAGATTTAAGAGAGAGGATTGGTAGTGACTGTCACGTTTGTTGTGACGGTAATATTACCCTATGGTTGTGACTTTAGAGAGGAAAATGGTTACGGAGAGTGTTTGATAAAGTGCAGTCACGATGCTGTTTCGAGAATGAACGCGCCATATTGTAAATGAAAGAGGAATGGGGCAAGAATTGTTTCGGCGACCACAGCGCCGGTGCCATTTTGCTCGGGAACTGTTCGTCGCGGACCATTTATTCGTTGTAATGTACTTACCTTCTTTAATCGGGTATTTACAGACATGGGAACGAGATAATAATTGATATTATAACATGTGTAAAAAGTATAAATATTGCGACACGCGTTCTACTTTTAGGCGATAAGGTACACGCGGACCTTCGTTCCGGCTTTTTTCTCAAATGGCAGAGCTGTTATTATTTCCATTGTCACGGATCGGTGACGATTGTAGCGAACGTGTTAGAGTGTTCCGGTATTTCAAATCTCCCGCGCGAATTAGATTTAGGTATTCAAGAATCTCACCGTTAAATATCGCGAGTCTAAGAAATATACATTGTAAGTACGATTTAAATGCTTGGCTTCAAGCAATCCTAGAGAACACTTAGGTATGTACCGTCTCATACAAATTTGTTTCCTCTTATTTCCCAGATTATTAGTACCAACTCTTTTATAAGATCCACTAGTCGATAAGAAATGGTGGTGAAAGTTTCAAGCAAGCCGTTGTTCGTATGAAGAAAATTCATATAGTAATATTATAAACGTATTTTTGCTATTTTACGCACCGATAGTCACCCTTCAAAATAATATCCATTTTATGAACCACTCTGAGTTACCTGATATTTGTGTACAGTTCGATCAAGGTCAAATAGGAAACGATAAACCGCCGAAGAAATCGTGACATTTCGTGCGCCAATTGTATTCGAGGGAAAAAGAACCTTAATCTCGAAGATGAATATTCGAGACTTTTCGTCCGCCAGTTATTTTCGAGAGAAGAGAAACCTTAATCTCGAAGATGAAAATTCGAGAAGTGACCATGCGGAACATTGAAAATGTCTTCTTCGTTGACGGTCGAGAAGCTACGCCGCGTAGAGTCGACCAATTGTTATTCTCCGGGCGGAAGAGTTTTGTCGCGAGAGGCAAGCGAATGATTTCGATTCTGTCCCATCGCGAGCGAAGATCGTCGAAGAAAGGAAATGTTCAACCAACCACGCTGCTCGCCTTAATTAATTAAAGGAAATAGCTCTAGCGTAGCGTCCTAGAGATAACGTGTACGACACTAAAGGTAAGATGTAATCGAGGATCGAGTTGTTGGATCGATTAATCGACGACGATTCCAACGGGTGATATGGAGTCCGACGCAATTAGGCGAAACGGTGGAAACCCCCAGTTTCGCGATGGTTTCCGACCGCTCTTGGAACGTCCACGGGACAGTCGGCCATTTATAATCGTACAGGAAGCTGCTTTTTACGCCACTTTTCTTCCAGGACCACAAGTTTAGAGGAGCAGCGTTAAAACTATTAAAGGGGCAGAGTAAAAAAATGATTGAAAAATCGTTTTTTTAATTTTCAATCAAAGTGGAAATGTTTCAGGCCAGTTTCAACAATGTTTGATGAGTGGAAGTAAGTGAATTTCAATGTAAACTTCGAAACGCTGTGCTGTAAAACGATATTTTGCAACTTTTGGTACATTTTTCTCTAGAACCACTCAACCAAATTGCAAGTTCTTTTTTTTTTTGTTGATCAATTACAAATTAATTGATGAATTTAAGAATATAACATTACTCAATTCCATTTCAGCATAGTGAAATACAAATTTTTATCGACTGTTTTCAAGAGGTACAAGAATTTTAAGTCGGGATCGATATGGCCCCGTGGCGGGTCGCGAACATGGCCGGCTGTTCGTGAATTTTGGATTCTGTTCAAGCATCGTCATTGCGAAGCCGATTCTGAATCGAAAACCGTGTACGTGTATGTATATAGTTAATTTATTCATCTACAACGGGGAGAATAAGCCGTTGTTCCGAACGTTGTGTACGAGCGACGGATGCGTTGATCGATCATCTCGCGAACGTTTCACCTCGAATAATATCGTTCGAACTTGGAAGCCCTCCGAAGCTGCCCAGAATCTTCCCTCTGTGTATATCGATTCCGATTAATTTCACGATATTTCATATCGACGTGACACATACAAGCCACGTCGAGATTTACATAAATTTTCCAAGATTAAAATTCTCTGTGAAATTTCGATAAGCTTTCCTAAGCTTCCTACCTTTGAACTGTATTCGGTTCGATTCGAAGGATCCTCGGAGAACTGCGGAGAGCTTCGAGTAGTCTCGCCGCGTATTTACATGCTAATCGAAACGAACAGGAAAAGGAATAATCGTTACTGTAACAATTAAAACGCATGGCAACAATACATATGGATGGACGAGTCCTTTCGTACGATTCACCCCTAAATTTTCGGACCAAACACGTTCCGTTCTCTTGTAATAAATGCGTAAACAGAGCCGAAGTGTTTTCTTTCTGAACCGAGTAAGTGTCCTCGAATACAGTGACTCGAAAATTTATTTCACTAGATTTCGTGCCAAATTACGAATCTTCTTTCGAAATTAAGAAAAATTTGTCACAAAAGCGTAATAAAAGTAAAAATCATGAGGATACATAGAATTGAAATTGCATAAAAATTTGTATACTCAATTGGAAAATACATGAACGAATACGTAAGTCACTGTATATCGAAATAGTAAAAATACTTTCATAATTGCGAATGAAAATATAACTTTCATCTTTACTTCCTATTTCTAGCTTGAGTTTTTCGAGCACACTATAATTATTCAGACGTTAATTAGCTCCAAGCGATAATATCTCGACTAAGGATTCGAGAACAATTGCCAGCGGGTGCCATTTTGGGACCACATAAATTTCAGTTGGTGAACTACCAAGGTACACTGTTACTCATTTCTACAATACCCAGTACCATCAATTTTAAATAGTCACTGTCAAAGTGTCAGTGGATTTTCATAATGGCTCCGTTAAAAGGAAAATTAATGACATCTGCCATTAAAATACCATCGTCGAAAATACTCGAGAACTCCGAAAGTCTTCGCGAAACTACGTCCGACGAGGTAACGAGATCGAAGTAATTACAATTGCGGTACGAAGAAACGCGAAGTATTTAAAACGCTTTGTGCAATTCGAGGCCCCTTTCTATTTATACAACTGCGTGGATTTTCAGGACAACGCCTCTGCAGCGTAATCAGAAGACATTTCGAAAGAACTCCCTGTAGATTAATTAACCACCTACGCTGGGAGGCGTAGAAAAAACATCCCCGCGGGTTCTCCCAAGGTGAGGCCAATTACTCGATTAATACGTTAATTCATTCCCCTAGTCGCTGTAGTTTCGTTCGAGACTTTCTTCGGGATTCCAGGCACTATGAATAAAAAGTAACTGTCGTTTTTATTGGGAGAGAAATTTGAATTGTCTGTAGGTGCAGCTCAGATGAAATTTATTCACGAGTAATGCATTAACATAACTCCGAATTAAAGATTGGAATACATACGAAACGTGAAATGAATATAAAATATCGTCGCGAATGTGGTGAAGAATTTGAATAAATTTGTTTATCGAAACGAAACTTTAATTTCCCACTATGTACATTAAATTCGGCCGTAATCCAGATTAAATTAGGTAAATGTATTTACGTGTCATTACATTATTAAATGTGTAAGAATTATCGACATGAAATTCATTTACAGATTTCGTACGACCAAAAAACATAAAAAGAAGTTTTATTTATGGAACAGCAAGTATTTACGCGTAAACCTTGACCAATCCATAAAACGAAATTAAATGTGCAGATTGTTTTCCGGCGTCGAAGATATGCAAATACAAACCAGTTGTTTGCAGCGAAACGAATACTCGCATATGAAGAGGCTTCATTCATAAAAAAAACCGACGGTTAGTCCCAAAGCTTCTGAAATAGCGTATACAGGGTATCATAAAAATTTGCTACGTTTCTGAGATCAAATAATTATACAGTAAATCATATAGAGTAAAATTACTATTGCAATATAATTCTAGACCAACAAATTCTACCAATTAATCGTACATATTTCCAAGGATTTATAACTTAGAAAACGAAAGAAAATATGTCTGAATACGTACGGCCCTTTTCACTGTGGCAGTCAACGTGTTAACCCGCTCACTGCATCTTTTTGGTATCTTCTACAAAATTGTTTTTTCATAAAATCAAGAACAAATAGTCATTTCAAGAGTATTTAAAACATTGCTCACGTTAGAAAAATGCATACTAAATAAATGACAGAACTTTCGTACTGCTGATCGGTAAGAATACTTCCAGATATTGTCACTAAAGCAATAAAGCAAGTGTCCACTGTAGTAGACAAATGTAATTAGCGGGTTAACTTGTTCCTCTGATGTGTTCTCTGATTGTTTCTATAATTCTGTCCGGTTCGAACCAGACAGAACGAGATCCATCAGAAAGTGCCGACCAACGTGATTTGTTTCGTCTCGTCAGACTACCTGCCGCCATGTAAAATATTCGTGTCACGCTTTCTAGAACCTAATAGCTACTCGAAATCCATCGTCCCAATGGATTCGACGGTTGGTGTCTCTTGTACCATCGCCCATCCATCCATCGTTTCTGTTTCTACGCAATGTTTTTACTCTAAACAGTCTTTTGGACGACAATTCAATCCGAGGTCCTCAAGGAATTCACTTGCAATTGAAATTTATTTATCTATAATAAAATTATTGTTTAATTTATATTCGTGTCTCTTTCGATAGTGA